CCGACGATATGTGTGGTGTAAAATTCCTTGTGTGTGGAATTATGAATTTGTTTGTAAACAATGCAATGCGCTTGGAAACAATTAGTGTATTTGTATATACACAGCGCATTCAAATATATAACCACTTATTATTATATTAATAATATGCATTGCCAATATAATTATCGCATATACATTACATTACATTTATTGAGGGCTTTCGCCAGTTGCATATCTCTATACCACCTCTATAGAGAGTCCGGACATTCCAGGTGCATATCTGTAAATCATAGTCCTTTAAGCGTTTGCATGGGTCGTCAATATTCCAGTTCCAGTTCCAAAGCAGCCTTACGCCATTCACTGGCAAATGATTTTACGTGACAGGTGTCAAACTCTGTGGACAACCCAAATTTTAAGTCGTGAGCATTGGACTAGCTATACGTATTATTAGTTCATCATCCAACGGGTTTGAGGTAACTATCCAGGGGTGCCACGTGGAGGCTTTGCGACAACTTGGATTGAGTTCGACAAGGGCTCAATCTAGCATTTTCCATATTTTCCATATTAAATGCAATCAGGCACGTTGCTTTGTGTACTCGCTCCCAGAGGCACGCAGTCCCGCCCGCCGCTCTATGATATTCAAGTTTCAGATATTGGTCTCCAGGCAAGAGATGTACCAGTCCGCTGCTTCAACTAATGCGTAACCTGCTCAGCAATGTGGTGTCAGTGTCGACGGGGCATTGCATTTTATGAGACTGGGTCCATTCTATAATGACTTTCATCATGGTTGTGGCTTTGCGAATAAGAAGGAAGGAAACCATCATTGGCAAGATTATTTAAAGTCTTCAGGGCTCCTTTTCATACTGAACTGCCAGATCTGTCATTTTACATAATTATGGACTTGGCCAAGTTTAAAAACTTAGGATGGTTCACTTTCACTTCAAAGGTAAAATCTCCTATTAAAGCTGATAAAAGTTAAACCTATTAAGTTAATGTGCTACCGTATGAAAAGTTAAAAGGCTTAAAGGTCACTGAAGAACTCTATTGAGAATTTTAACCAGTTCAAGGTACTTTTTAAATCTTCGAGTTATAACCAGTGAATATAAATAGATTATTATTAAAAACGAAATAAAAAATAAATTCACGTGTTAGTTTATAATGAAACGCTCATACCCTATGATGAACTTTTGCATAATTTTCTTCAATGTTATATTAAACAATTGTTCTTGCATCAGGGAGGTCATGTGGATACAATCTTGAAGTGGTGCAGATTAGTCTCATGAGATTAATCTCATGTATGATGATGCAGATTTGTGTTCGTACTTATTATTCTCATAACAAATGAAAACTTCTTCTAATGAACATATTAAATGGCATCAATTTTGAACGGTAATAGGCTTTTTCTTTCGTAAGCATATCACAAAAGAACAACCGCCTATTTTAAAAATAATATATGAAACAATAACACTGCTGGCTAATTTAGTCCAACATTTTAAAAATCGCTTAACTCATGAGCAACTCAAGATAGTTGCTAAGACTTAAAATTCGTCTATTGTGAACGACTTTTGGTAGGACCTACGAAATTTTCAGTTAACTATTAACAATTTCGTTAGTTATTTGTATTTCGTTTCATCATTGTTCGTAACAAATACGTTATTTTTTTACTATTTATTTTTTTACTGTTAAATACGTTACTTTTTCTATTTATTTTTTTACTGTTAAAAGGCATGAAAAATTATATTTTATTTACATTACAATCTTTATCATGATTGCAAAGAATCATTATTCATTTTCGAAATTTTAACTTCTAATTTTATTATATATTTTGCATATAAGCCTAACAAAATTTCCATTTTGTCCAGACTTGCCTTTGAAAGTAGTGCTTATATTATTTGTGAACGCATTATGAGCCTATAATTATGCCAAAGTGTTCAGTCTATTTCATTTAGGTTGCTGATGCAAAACTTATTTTATTGTGTTATTGTGAATGTTTTATAAACATCTGAGATATTTTGTTCCTATGAAACACTGCTCTAATGCTGCTATGTATACCTAAATATTTTTTCATCTAGCGGCGTTTTTTGTGGTAAAAAATATTTTGATAATTGTTCGGCATTTAATTAAATAGTACGAAGGATGGTTAATTATTTTTATAAGTTCATAAACTCTTCATTGAATAATATTTAACATTATGCTAGCAGTTGGTGTTTGATATCGCTAAAGTTATAGGAATTGAATTTAAAAATAAAATAAAATTTGTCAACTCTTATTAATTGTTTAAATAATGTTACTATAACAAATTTAAAGCATAGAATACGCTTAAATATTATTATATGCTACTTCAGTGAATTTGAGTTCTTGAGATAGCAATTGAATTATGCATTTGCAAAAAAAATGCAATTTATGTGTAACAACAACAACTGTAGACGATCCTAAAAAAATGTAACAAAGTTGCAAAAAAATGGTGCCATTGTGGAAATGATTGTGTTGACAGTTGAAGACTAGAAATAAACGTTTGAACTCTATATTTTATTGTAAAAGAATCGGCATTACTAATAACATCAGAGATCAAAGAAATCTAACTTTTAATAATACAAACGTACGTGCATATGTAAAGAAAAAGAAATTCAGTGGTTACGGAAAAACTCCAAATAAACCGTCTTAAATAAATTTCTGCTGTACAATTGACAATAGTCGTAGGTCGTAGTTTTGTTCATATTAGAAAAAATCTGGGTTTTTTTATAATATAATATAATAATTTTATAATAATTTTTTATAATTTTTTTATAATATATATATATATATTAAATATATATATTATATATTAAATAATATATAAAATAATTAATTAATATATTAAATAAGACACACACATATAATAGTTTTTTTTTTATAGGATTGCATGTTAATGGACAGCAGTATTTTGCAATTTTTTTTTGTTTGTTGCAAGTAAAAGAATATTTTCGGAACGCATACCTATGGAAACAGTCAGAACAAATTGTAGCAACCTGATCTCCGATGAAAATTCAGGTACAGTTGTCAATAATATAAATAGTGGATCAGAATCAAATAATTCAGACGACATCGCATCAAAAATTGAAAAAAATAATGATGAAAATAGCAATACCAGTGGCAGTCTACTTTTAGACAGAAATAACGGTGAAAGGAAAGAGGACGAAAAACAGCTTTGTATAGCTCCCACAAACAATCAATTCCGCTTGCGTATTATACCAATTGAAAGGTTGCTTGAAAAACCGCCTGTGCCACTGACAGCTTCGAAGCCAGAACTTAAACTTCGTTTGCCTGAGCGAAAGAAACGAAATAATACTTCTATAATCGAATTGAGTGATACATCAAGCAAAGAAAGTGACGAAGAAATTATTATTAAACATCAAACAAAAAGACAAATCAAGAAAATTGAAAAACCATCTGCGGAAGTAGAAAAGCCATATACAAAAGTAATCAAAAGTATTTGTGCAGAAAAAAGAAACGAAGAAGTCACATCATCTTCAATTGATTTAAATTCAAAGATCGTTATTGAAGGTGATAGACAGAAGCTACGGAAACTTTGCGTGCGTTTAAAGCGTATTCCTCTTCTGCAGTTTAGTAAACAAGTAAACGGTTCTAGAATGAACACACTTACTGCAACACATTCGAAAGCTGCAACTAGCTCAGCTAAAAACCGGAAATCAATGGTATCATCTGAGTCTGATAACTCGGATTGTGAGGGAAGTAATGACGTCTCAAGTCAAGCGAAACAAGATGCGATCTCTTCAGATTATTCGGATGTGAAAAGTAGCGATAGCGAAATAATACCGTCACGTAAGAAGCGTACATTTAATAA